GTCCATTAGGGGCCAGCACACCTGCCACACAGAGCCGTGCCTCCCCAATCCCTGGGAGGTCATCTAACACCGGGCCCCCCAGATTTAGGCTCACGAGTTTGCGGGGAAATAAGACAAACTCCGCCCTGGCCCCAGCACTGGTTCCTCCTGTTGAGTGCCTTGACAAGCCTTGAGGCATCTAGGGGACGGGAACACCTTTGCCCCAGGATCCACCACGAGGGAGGGCGTGTTCGCGTGACATAGCTGGCAGTCACTCTGCCTGGGGCACCGGTGAGCCAGCCCCTCCAAGATGCCTCTGGAAAGGCTGTCTCGGCAGTCCTCCCACGGTGATGACGCCCCATGCCACTGAACGCCCTCCCAAGACTCTCGGAGACACCAGGGCTCCCACCTCTGCCCCCCTACACACACTAGTGGGCAAGGAGACTTAAACTCACTCACAGCAAGGACAGGTGGGTCCAGAGGTGCCTCAGCACAGCCAGCCTGAGGAACGTATCTCTGACGGTGCACTCAGACCATCGGAAGCACACAGCGAGCGGGCTGGCATCCCACCTGGAGCCTGGGCCTCAGCAAAGGAAAAAGTCAGGCAGCCAGCTGAAAACGGAGCTGGCTCCTCTGACCATGGCAGGTGCGGCCAGTGGCTCAGTCTGGGCACTTCTCCAAGGGAAGAGCAGAGGAGGCAAGCGCGGGCGGGGCTGCTGTGTGGACCTGCACCTCCCTCTTGGAGTCTATGATATCAAACCTCTGGAAACCCTGGTAGGGGGAGCGGGGGTGGGGGGCAAGAACAGGCCATTAGGAACTGCAAACAGCACCAAGTAAGGTCACAACCACAGGTGCCAGGGTTAGGACGTCAACATCTTTTTAGGAGACACGATTCTGTCCCTAATGCTGTCCCTTGGCTCATTGTCAGTGCAGGCTGAGATGGGGGCAGCTGGGCGGTGGCCTCTCTTTTGATCCAGCCAGGTGTGAGCTCCAGTGCAGTACCACCTGGAAAGGTAGACCACCTGCCCACAAGGGGCGGGAGCTGGTAGCTGTAATCCTCGTTATGGCTGCTCTCAGTGGCCTCATGGGTTTCTGGAGGGTGCTGGAGCCACCGCCTGGCACCAGAGTTGCTGAGGGCCCCCTCAAGAGTTTGACCCACTGCCCTGACCCAGCCCGGGGACAGAGCCAGCTGGGCTCCCACAGAGGCATTTTGCTGAACATGGTGGCCAGTGGGCCAGGCCAGCAGAGAAGGCACCTTTGGACCCATCAGACTCGCCGCTGGCTCCTTCAAGACATGTCTGGAAAGGACTCCAGGTCCTTTAGTCAGTGGCTTCTGGAAAGCCTACCCTGCACCTGGCCACATGTCAACGGGAGGCGGGCCCAGGAGGTGCAGCCTGGGGTCCTGGGCGTGTTCCTGGGCAGGCCTCAGGCTCCTCTGATGGAGGCAGCTGTGGAGGTGTGAGACGCATTCCCTGGCTGGTTTCTGTCCCGGCCGAGGCTGAGAGAGAAGCACAGCACACCAACTGTGCCAACACGAGACTGCGTGTGCCCAGGTGCAGACACTCCAGCAAGGGCTGATCAGCAAGATGGGGACGTCCAGTCCCTCTCTGTGACAGAGAACCACCCCACACATGACATTCTGGTATCTCCAACAACCTGTGGGGGAAGGAGGAGGCAGGTCCCCTGTGCGGACAGATGAGAAGCCCCAAGAGGATCCGGTGGGGGGCAGAGCTGGGCACAGAGCTGTGGACCCAGCAGACTCCTCCCCTCAAGGCCCTGGGTTCACTCGCAGATGCATGACTTTTTGTCACACGGGAACAGCTCCTGCGACCTCATGTATGCACACATGCAAAGCAAAGGGAGATACACACACATGTGCACATGCTTGCATAGGACAGGACACAGGCCTGCACACACACATACACATGTGCACACATACTGACGCACACGTGCACACTGCACATCCCTGCTCGGTCCCTGCTCAGTTCTCACCTCTTCTGCCCTATCCCCTGGGCCCCCCCTCCTCAGCATCCATCACCTTCTCTGGCATGCCCTAAGGCGGCTAGGACTCTACTGCTTGTCTTATAAGTTGTGTGTGAAGGGACAATGTCCCCTCTCAGTACCCCCATATCACACAGGATGTGTCCACTGAACCCCGTTTTAAGAACCAGTGTCACCTCTGACAATCAGGCCCAAAATGGAGTGAGCAGCTGTAAGCGGTAGTGAGTTATCTTTCAATGGGGGGGACTAGGCACACACTGGCCACCAATCTGATGTTGGGAGCTGGAGCATTGAGTCTGAGTTTCCACAAGTCCATGACCTTGGACAGCCATGTGATTGCCCCAAGTCAGGATGTCCAGCCAGCCCACCTCCCTCAATGAATGCTCCACACACTGACACAGGGGGCCGCTGTCGCCATGGCTGGTGCCCCCAGGGCAAGGGGCCATCTGTCCCGGGTCCTGGGACAGCAAAGCCCCAGCTGTGAGGCCCGGCTCTAAGCACTCCAAGTCCAAGTGCCAGGCTCCCAGCTGGGGTCTGGTACCTCCACCTACTCGAGAGCACAGACAGGGGCTCACCCTCCTCCAACTCCAGGGATGCACATGCCCTGGGCCGCATTGTTTGGGGACCCTTGATGTTTTTCCATCTAGTCCAACAAGGCTTGCTAAACCCCCACGGTGAACCTGACCAAGCGCAGGTGCTGTGCAGGAGCAAGGGCTGGCTTCTACCCGGCCTGGCTCTCAGGACTGCAGGCTAATGCAGATAGTCATAGAACCCAATCAGCAAAAGAAACAAGCATTCAACGGGTCCGTATGTATATGAACACGCATACGCAGACAGAGCCGAGCACTACTGTCTGATTCATCCTAAAGCAGAAAGAAAGAGCACAAAACATATACATAGAAAGAAACTATCAAGCTAAGTGGAATTGTAACAATCTGACCTGCAGCTCCCAGGGTACCTACCTACTTGGAAACCGTTTGTTGAGCATCTGATGGAGGCGGAGGGGCGGGGCTGGCAGCCTGGCTCTGGGCAAGCTGTCATCCCCAAGGTCCTGGGTGCTGAACGAAGTCTGCTGTGGTTTCTGCATGAAGGTGTGGACCTTGCTTCCATGCAAGTCCTGCACTGGTGGAGAGAGAGGGGGTTCCAGGAGCTAGTGGCAGGTGGGTTTCCCACAGCAGCAGGGCACAAGGCTTAACCGCCAGGCAAAGCAGCCAAATTGAGGACAGAAGGACACAGAGCAGAACAGATGGGGACAGCCGCAGCCCCTCTCTGGGGCTGCAGAGGTGCGGACAGGGCAGGCACTGAGGTTTTCCTCTGTGCGTCCTTCTAAGGTCCAGCCCAGACATAACTCTGCGAGTCTCGGCCGAACAGTGAGTCTGTGCGACAACAGGAGGGCAGTTCTGAGAGTTGGTAGGGACCTCAGAGTTCCCTGCAGGGTCATTTGCTATGGCAGCCCCAAGAAAGGAATTCACTGCCCCAACCCCAAAGGTGCTCCAAGGACCCTCGGGATCCCTGTGGCGTTTCCAGGATGGGATGGGCAGGTTCTCCACTGGAGTATTCAGCTTCCCTAAATAACAGGAGCGTCTCTCCGGGGATTAAGGAGGTCATCTTGGCCAGCAGCCACACAATGGGTGGCTGGATGAGGAAGGACAGTGTGGTAGAGGGTTGGCCTAGGTATCTGCAAGTGTCATCTATGTCTGGGAGGAGGAGAGAAGGAAGAGAGGGTATAAATAGGAAGCTTTTGAGGCCACAGAACAGGTGAATAAGCAGAAGTCAGCCACGTGTCCCCTGAAATCCACACTCTCGGCAGCGTGGTGCCAGGCTGAAGCCCACAGGCGAGACATGCGCCGTCCCCCGTCCATGTACCACCGTCCTTCCACGCTCCCTCACCCAGCCAGACAGGGGCACACACACCTTGTGTGAGGCTGGAAGTGTGGGCCTGGCTCCCAATTCCACCTAGTCTCTTGGAGCCTCAGTTTCGTCTCTGCAAAACTGTGGGAACGTAAGACACTGTGTGACATGGCCTTCCCTCCCCACTGTCTCTCCACAGGTTCTTCTGCAGACTCACGCCATCTCCATCTTGCCCCCCAAGCCCACAGTTGGCAAAGAGCACCAGGCTGTCATGTGGCACCCCTGGCCTACTGCACAGCCATGAGAATGCCCGGCAGCTCTGGGGGGACTGGCCAGGAGCTGTGTCCACCTGCCCAGAGACAGCCCCATCTGACCCCTGAACTCATGAAATGTCCTCATCAAAAGGGACCAGACACCCAGACACGACTTTCCCAGCTCTTTGTGTCACTGAGGATTCCAAAGGCCACCGAAGGAGGGACATGGCTGCCTTGGCCACCAACAAGACTGTTGCAGGTGCACACTCTTTGCTCTCTTTGATTAAACATCCTATAACCGCACATCTGAACCCCTCGGAATTCCAGAATTCCATGCTGTGTCCCTTCTCTCAACCAAATGAGCTTTCTCAACGCCTGGGGCCAACTCCTAAAGCACTGTCTCCAGAGGGAGGGAACCCTCCACAGCCTTCATTTGACCAGGAAAGGGCCACTATTTCCCAGGCCGGCTGACCCCTTGGTCACCACCACGGCTGGTCAGCCAGGTCAGCTATGGACTTCGGGGCTTGCGCTCATCCATCCTACCGCGGCGGGTCTGCGCAGGAGGTAGAGAAGGTGTCACCGGCTGGAGCGAGGGTTCTAGGCTGGGCTCCGCGCACGCTCCCCGCGCCGTGTGGACTGGAGCCCGGCTCGGCTTCCACCAGCCCTGACCTCTGCCCTTCAGTCCACGGCAGGTGGGTGCGCCAGGTCCCAGGGGTCCGTGTGACTCGCGGCGCGCGCCAGCCAAGTCCGGTGGAAAGGACCCGGCGGCCATGCGCTCCCTCCCCCGCAGCCGCGCACCTGTCCTGGGCGTGGCCCGAAGCCCCGCCCCGTGGCCCCGCCCCGGCCGCGCCGCGCGCTGGTTGGCAGAGGCGACGCGCTATGCTAATGAGCCTGGCCCTCCCCGCACCTGCCGGCAGCAGCCCGCGGGCGCCAGGCGGACGCAGTAGGACCGCGCCGCGAGGGCAGCATGCCACGCTCCTTCCTGGTGAAAACGCACCCCGGCCACAGGGTACCCAACTACGGGCGGCTGGAGACCCAGAGAGGTAGGGGCTTCCCTCTCCCCATCCCCCGTCCAGGGCTCAGGCTCCCGCGGGGCAGGCGGGTGGGGCGACCCCGGGAACCGAGACACCTGTCCCAGGTGGGAGGAGAGGACTCAGTTCGCCAGTGCGGCTGCGGCCGAGACCCCGGGGCTGGAGGTAGGTAGGTGGCCTGCGGGCACCTCGTCCACTTCGGGGGCCACCTGCTCGTCGGTCAGGGCGGGTGGGGATTCTCTCCCCACTTAGAGAAGTTTCCCGGCCCCCAGTCACTCTGGGACTCTCCCCCTGTGGCCTGGCGAACCCACCCCAGCCAAGGGGACCCCTGAGCCACCTTCCTGGTGCAGGAGATTTGGGAGGGCCCCACGGATGGTGCGGAGAGAACCGGAGGGCAACCTGGGGCTGCAGTCCAAGGGCTCCCCCAGAGCATCCTGGCTCGGGTGGTGAGTGGAGGAGACAGAAGAGGGGCCCAGCTCATCCCGCGTTCTGCTGGGCCCCTCCAATGCCTTGTCGCCCCTCCCGTGGGCCTCCTTCCCTCCCGCCTCCCCTCGCCCCCATGGGGGCTGCCCAGGGCAGGTGGGCTGAGCAGCTGCAATCCTTGCCCGGTGGCTGGGTGGGAAGACGGGCATCCAGGAACCAAGACTGTACACTCATTCCCATTCCCTGCTAGGCATGGGGACACAAGATGTTCCTGGGGTAAAGGCCTCTCTAGAGTGGTCAGTGCTATCCCCACAGCTCGGCAGCTTCTTGACGCAGAGACCCCCTGGGGGGCTGCTCGGTGACTCAGAAGGGGAGGGCAGGAGGGACACTGAGGTGGCCAGGTGCCCCTTCAGAGCCTTTAGCGCTCTCAGATTCCGAGTGGGGAGGGAGTCCCAGGATCGAGACCCTAGGCCGCTGCCACCAGGGGGCGCCTCCTAGGACTGACCTGCTCCTCAACTCTTACTGTCACTACCAGCAATTTTATAAAATAAACTAGAACAGAAACGATCAGAGCGCAGTGCTTATGGTAAAGGAAACTTTTGCTTCAGATATATATATATGATGGAAAATTGAATTTACATGGGTTGTAATTTTAAAAGTTTAAAACCGGTTGCTTTGAGTCCAGTCATACAGTGCACCCCACTTTACCATCTGAGCTTGCAAGGCCCAGGATCGAAGTTTGTCAGGGAACAGCCTCACAGCCAGCCAGCGGTCTCTGCTCCCCTCTATCGTTCCCCTCCTCTTCCTCTTCCTCCCCTTCCCCCGTCCCCTCCCCATCCTCCTCCTCCTCCTCCTCCTCCTCCTCCTCCTCCTCGCTGTGGCTCCTCCAGCTTTCTGACAGCCACATGGCCACGGTGATCCTTTCTGCCATGATGTTACCCCAGGATAGACCTGAGGTTCTGGGTCTGGGGTCCCTCACTCTCTCCTTTTAAATAAGTGCATTTTTAGGCCTCCCTAGGGAACCCCAGAAGCCAGAGGGAACTTAAGTCTCTTCTAGGAATCTGAGCTGCAGAATGAATAGAAAAGTGAGCCAAGGGGCCAGCCCCATGGCCTAGCAGTTAAGTTCAGCACGGCCCGCTTCGGCGGTCTGAGGTTCATAGGTTCAGATCCTGGGCGTGGACCTACACCACTCATCAGCCATGCTGTGGCAGCGACCCACATACAAAATAGAGGAAGATGGGCACAGATGTTAGCTCAGGGCGAATCTTTCTCAGGAAAAAAAAAAAGTGAGCCAACCCAGAGACTATGGGGAAGACTGGGGAAGGGCTAGCAGAAACATGGGTCAGGAGCAAGCAGTGTGGCGGCCTCTCCCCTGCCCTCCCTCTCGGGTCGACACTGGCCCCCCAGACAGGGTTTGGCTCCGTGGCGATGCCTGGGGCCAGGGCAGTGGTTGAGCCTCAGAGACTTAAGAAAGGCAAGTTTTTTTCAGTAGAAAGACCCCTAGGGAAGCTTCCGTGCAGGGTGGGGGGTCCTAGGCTCTCTGGGCAGCCCAGTGCTATCACTCCAGAACATCCTTGGACTTCATCTCTTAGCCTGTCACTGCCCCACCCCCATTTCCGGGCCTGCTGCTTTTGTAATTGGGAAGATTTGGGTGGAAGACAGTGAGGTCAGGGGAGAGCGGAGGGTGGGAAGCCTTAAACTTTCCCATTTCTCTACATCCTCACCGACATTTATAATTGTCTATTTTTAATTCTTGCCATCCTAGTGGGTGTGACGTGGTATATCGTTGCGGCTTTAATTTGCATTTCCCTGATGGCTAACGAGGTTGAGCATCTTTTCCTGTACTTATTGGTCATTTGTATATCTTCTTTGGAGAAATGTCTCTTCAGATCCTTTGACCATTTAAAAATTGCATCATTTGTCTTTTTTACTGTTGAGTTGCAAGAGTTCTTTATATATTCTGGATACTAGTTTCTTATCAGATATATGATTTGCAAATATTTTCTCCCATTCTGTGTGTCGTCTTTCTCTACCAAAGCCTTGGCACGGAGGTAGAAACAGAGCCAGAGATTTATTTCAACACCTGTGGGATAAGCAACGAGGACTGTTTGGAGGTTCAGGCTTCGGGGAAATCAGAATTTAACTCTTACCTGTAAGCCTGCTTACTTTGGGGGCTTCTGCCCTTCTCCTCTGGGTCAGGCACGGAGCTTGCTGGCCTGCAGGTACCGGAGCAGCAGCCTGAGGGCAGGTCCATCCCAGAGGCAGTGTGACACCACCTTGGACAGCCCGCCTTGGCTGGGAGCATTGGCAGGGGGCCGAGTACACCCACGTCATGATGGGCGAGGGGTGATCTGGAGGTGACAGGAGGCTAATTTGTTATTTAACACACGGTGGCCTGCTGCTAAGTGTTCTGAATGAACGCTGCGTGGGAGCCTGGAGGATGCTGCTCCGAACTGGTCCTGAGGAGGGACTGGGGCTCAGAGGGAGGGCCTGCCCTGCCCAGGCGGTAAAGGAGCCTTCCTTGGCCCCAGGACGGCTGTTTTAGGATCCTGTAAGATGTTTCTCTTTCTTTGTTTTTAGAGAGGAACTGAGATTCCTCCTCTAGACCTGGTGGTCTCTGGGCTGCAGCCATCCTTCTGTCACTTCTCTCACCAACACCTCCGTCTTGTCAGATCTTTCCCCTCATGCCAAGCTGCTTCTGGCCCAGAAGATGGGCTTGCGATGAGACCAGGAAGTTAGATGGGGAAGACAGAGCATTGGGACTCAGTCTCCACCTTTTGTTCTCTCTCCCTCCACCTTCTAGAAACCGATGGCACCTGTGCTGCCTGCAGGGGGCTGGTGGTACCCCTCCTCCTCCCAGACAAGGCGGCCCCTTCCACACCTGGTGACCCTGCCCCGCCCTGGGACTGCGCCTCCGTCATTGCTCGGATCTCCCTGCCCCTCTTGAGGAATGAGGAAGCTCAGGGGGCCTCTGGGCCAGACCCCCTGGAAGTCAACCGGGCGGAGCCTCGGGCTGGCTGGGCCCCCAGCGTACCCCTCAAAGACAGCCTGAACCACCTCAACCTGCCCCCACTGCTGGTTCTGCCCGTGCGGTGGCCCCCGATCCTGAGCACGGATGGGGACCAGGCTCCAGACAGACTGCTGGGTGCTGAGCAGGTCCCCCACCCCCTAGGGGGCTTCCAGTGCTTCCGCTGCCTCAAGCCCTACCACACGCTGGCTGGGCTGGCCAGGCACCGGCAGCTGCACTGCCAGGAGCAGGCCCCACGCTGCTTCACCTGCAAGTACTGCGACAGGGAGTACGCCAGCCCGGGCGCCCTCAAGATGCACGTCCGCACGCACACGCTGCCCTGCGTCTGCACCTTCTGCGGCAAGGCCTTCTCCAGGCCCTGGCTGCTGCAGGGCCACATCCGGACCCACACAGGTAAGATGGCGTGGGGTCCGCAAGAGGGATCAGGGTGGGACCTGGGGGTGGGAAGAGGGGAGGGGTTGACTGTATAAACCAGAGGATGGACGGTCACCCTGCCTCTGCTCCCCAGTGTATCTGTGTCCTGGGTCGGCCGGCACATAGTCCACAAACCAGAATCTCAAAACAGAAATGTTCTCTCTCCCAGTCCTGGAGGCGAGAGTCTGAAATCCAGGTGCGGCAGGGCCGTGCTCCCTCGGGAGGCTCTAGGGAGGGTCCTTCCTGCCTCTCCCAGCCCCTGGGGGTTCCAGGCGTCCTTGGGCTCCTGGCAGCATCGCTCCAACCTCTGCCTCCGTCCTCCCATGGCATCTCCCCCTGTATGTGTCTGTGTCCAGATTTCCCTCTTGTTATAAGGACGCCAGTCATACTGGATTCAGCGTCCACATACTCCAGTGCGACCTCATCTTAAGCTGATGACATCTGCAAAGCCCCTATTTCCAAATAAGGCCACGTGCACAGGTAGGGGGTTAGGACATGGACGTATCTTTTTGTGGGGGACACAATTCAACCCATGACACCTGGCAAAGTACAGAACGTGCAGGGCTTCGGTGGGGTCTGACTTCTGGCATTCTACAGCATTCCAGAATTCTGGAGCAGCAGGTGAGGGGAGCGAGAAAGGCCTGGCCTGGGGGTGAGGACCACAGGGGTCACATAGCCTGTCCGAAGGGCAGAGACGGCGGCTAGGCCCTGGGAGCAAACCCGTCCACAGGTGGGAGGACAGCCAGCAGACCGGAGGGAATGAGGGGGAGAGGAGCAGCTGGGGAGGGAGAGGAAGACAGAAACGGAGGAAGGAGAGGGAACGGGGCTCAGAGCTGAAGGAGCCTGAGGATGTTAGCCTTTCATTCTGTAGAGAACAAAATTCTGCCCAGAAAGAGTGGAAGTGGCCTGCTCTGCCAAGGGCAGCCAGGGGCTGAACTGGACCTCAATCCAGGTCTCCACCTTGCATCCGGGACATGGCTGAGCACACCCTGAGAGCGAGAGACAGGACTAGACAGCCCCAGGAGGAAGACTTTGGTGTCAGCCACAGGCCCACAGTTACAACACACACTTTCTGTAACGCGGCTCCCTCACCCCTGAGTCTCGACTCCGTGACTAGAATCTTCCGAGTCACGCTCGCATGGAGGCTGGGAAGGACAGTTTTGCTGGAGCCTTTTTCTGGGCTGGAAATCCCCTCTGGTTTTCCTTGACCCTTCGCGAGAATGTCCCCCGAGCGCCCCATCACATGCTGTCAGAGACTCAAGGCTCATGGTCTGGAGCCTGGGAGGCCCTGCAGGAGGCTGGCCCGGGTATCGGGCAGCAGGGAGGCAGATGCCCTGGCCTTGCGGAACTGCAGGCTGGTGCCTCTCAGGACTACAGAGCTGCGGGACAGGAAGCCACTCCGCATGCAGATGACTCTCCCTCCCGTCACACTTGTCGGGGTCGTCCTAGGGGCCAAGGTCACAGAAGGACTTTGTCCAAATGCCTGGTGGCCCTGATTGGAGGTGGCCTGGAGGCTACAAGGATTGTAAACCGTTCCTAGATGCTGTGTTCCTCCAGGCCCGCCTTCTCTGTAGACTGGCCTTCAGTGGGTGGGAACAGCTGCCAGAGGCTCCTGGTGCTTCTCACCGCCAGATCCGGTCAACAAAGGGCCCCAGGAGGGGCTGGCAGAAGCAGAGAAAGATCTAGCGACTGTGGTGGATGCAGCAAAGATCTGTGCTAGATCCTTCCTCCTAGAAAGGGTGTAGATGCTGCAGTCCTGCTGGTGGGACGGTCTGCCCTATCCCCAAGTGGCTCCGACCTTGGGCGCATGTGGCGTCCCGGCCCTGGCGTTTCCTCCTGGTGCAGGTGCTGAGGCCCCCCTGTCACTCATCTCCCAGGGAGGGGCGATGAAGATCAATGCATTGCATCACCGTGAGTGAGCATTTGGAGGGGGAGGGACAGGATTCTTCATTTATAAACAGGGACCCTTGAGCCCTGGGGCCCCCTTCCGTGGTACTGTACTGGCCATTGCAGTAGGACCCCCATGGTCAGTCACCCGGCCCCCTCTTCCTCCTGCAGGGGAGAAGCCGTACGCCTGCTCTCACTGCAGCAGGGCCTTCGCCGACCGCTCCAATCTCCGGGCCCACTTGCAGACACACTCTGACACCAAGAAATACCAGTGCAAGAGCTGCGCCAAGGCCTTCTCCCGCATGTCGCTCCTGGTGCGGCACGAGGAGTCTGGCTGCTGCCCTGGCCCCTGAGCAGCGCCGGTTGGTGCAGGTAGGAGAGACAGGACCTCACCACGAGAGCCGATGGCTGGCGGCCCTCTTGGCTGCCCTGTGTCGCCTGGTGGGCCAAGAGGATCTGGGCATCTTGGGAAGGCAGGGGCCCAGCCTCACACTCAGCACGCATTTCTCCTCTCCCTGCCCGCCACCCGCTTCCCCTGGAACTAGAGCAGCCCCATGGGCATTAGTGTGAGCAAGGGCTCATGTAGATCTCCCACCCACTCTGCCCGCTGAGGGAGGGGACTTCTCTCCCAGGGAAGACCTTCATCCAAACAAGAGCCCCCGTTCATCTTCAGCTGGGTCTGCTTGCCGGTGCTCTTCTTCCAAGAGGGACAGACTGCTGGGCGCCGGTGGCCAGCCCAGACAATTCCTACCGCTAAGCTGACAAACGCAGCTGCCTGTGGGTCCCTTCACAACTCGAAATCCACGGTTTTGCCTGGTGCCGAGTGCATCTGAACGGTCCAGCCTTCGTGGGCAGAGCAACCTCAAGGCTCACCTCCACCTGCCTTTGATCTGGGACCAGGGCCAAGCTGTCTCATGTCACGAGTGCACATGCACACGCAGGTGCAGACACACACACACACACCCTTCCCACCTCACCAGGCTGTCCCGAAGATGGAGCAGCAGTGAGGGGGTCTGGCATGGTTGGGATGGAGCTAGGCCCCCCACCCGTGACCGTGGGGATGGCAGAGAGCCCGCAGCCCTGCCTGCTGTCCTCCGGAGTTCTGAGTCTTGCCCACTCCCCTGGGTCTACGGGAGAGGCCAAGCTCTGAGAAGTTCCCCAGGAGCAGCAGGATTCCTGCATAATTTGGGCCTTTCCGGCCACAGAGTGGGGAAACTGGGGTGAGGGCCCCAAGCTGTGAAGTGTCGTGGGACAGGAGCAAGGCTTGTGGGAGGCTGGCTGGGGGGTGGGAACGGTATTAAACAACGTGGAAGAAAGACTGAGGGGCGTGAACTCTGGGGCGTGAATGCGGGGGGTGAGGAGTGTGAGAGGCCTGGGAAACAAGGGCGGAAGAAAGGCTGTGGGTCTGCTGACAGGTGCTCGTTCCCCAAAGTCTAAGTTAGAAGAGAGAACCCCGTCCTGTGTCTGCACCATCTCTCCTGGATCCACACAGAGGGGCTATTTCTGCACCTGCCCCAAACATACACGCCTTCCCAAACCGGCTGGGATACTGACCCGCAAGGCCCCCAGCCCAGCGTCCTGCCCGAGCCTGGTGGTAGCATTCCCTTCTCGTACGTGGACTCTTCTCACCCCTAGACCGCCAGGTGGTCACCCACTGGGCTGGTCCTGCCTCTTGCCAGCATGTCTTAGCCGTCTCCGGCTGGACCCTGGAGGGTCATCCGGAAGGAGGCAGGAGGCTTGAGTCTGACGGGGACTGACTGAGTCCTTGACACTGGGAGGGAACACCTGCTCCTCTCTGCGGAAGCCTGGCCTGCTATCAGCAGCTCCACTTCTGGCCCCGGGCAAGGGATGGAATGAGGCACCTTGGTCTTGGCCCCGGAATGGAGCCCCATAGCAAGTGACAGAGGCCACCACTCAGCCCTGAGCCACCCAGACCTGCTGAGCCTCCTCCCCGTGTGCGAGGACATTCAGGCCTTCACCAGGACCACGTGGGGCACAGAGGACCTTCCTCTGCAGTCACCCAGGGGCTGCAGTCCAGCCCTGGTGGTCCCCACCTGTAGATTCCACCTGACACTCGTCAGGGCTGAGGGCCCTGGGTGGCTGGTTTGATGACGGCCATTGGCGGGGTCTTGGGGACAGCCCAGAGGAAACTTGACCTTGATCTTGGGCTTCTCTGGACCAAGGGTGACCTTGATGAAAGAGACCCCCCAGGAGAGCCCCCCGTTCCAGCCTGAGGCAGACCTTGTCAGCTGGTGGGATGATGACGCTCTCTGAGGAAGTCACGCTCCCATGCCCAGGCCCGCCCCGCTGCCTTCCCTCCCCAGGGATCAGCCGTCCCTCGAGGGATGGATGGTGGGACCCAGAGGCTGGGAATGTGCCATGTTGCTAATGTATCAGTTTGCCATGGCTGCTGTAACCAAGTCCCACAGACCACAGAAATCTCTCCCACCGTCTGGAGGCCCAAAGTCCAGACCAAGGTGCCAGCAGGGCTGGTTCCTTCTGAGGCTGAGAGAGAATCTGTCCTAGGCCTCTCCCCCAGCTCCCGCTGGTTTGCTGGTGTCTTTGATGCTCCTCGGCTTATAGAAGCACCACCCCGATCTCTGCCTCCATCTTCACATGGGTCTCCCTGTGTGCATGTCTCTCTGTGTCCAAATTTCCCCTTTTTATAACGACACCCGTCATATGGGGTTGGGGCCCACTCTCCTGATCTCATCTTGACTTGACTACGTCTGCAAAGACCCGATTTCCAAATAAGGTACTAGGGGTCAGGACCTCAACATATGAATTGGGGGAGACACCATTCACCCCAACAGCTGACAAGAACACACGGTTTGCCAAGAGATGCCCAGTGGGTCCTGTGCTTGGGCTGAAGGAGAGGAGTCGAATCCTCTTCTCCCCCAGTCGAGGGGGCAGTCGATTCTAACTGACGGATTTACTAGAAACACCTCCTCCAGAGGCCTTGTGAGTCCCCTCCCCACTCACGGGCCCCTCTCGAGCTCACATGCCTGCGCCTGTCCCTCGCCTCCTCCATCTCCCAGCGTGGCCCCTGACAGGGCTTCTGTCCTCCCTCCCACGCCATCTCTGAGGCGCCTGCGCCTGTGCTGAGTGGCCGCCTGTCATCAAGCCGGGCAGAGCCAGAGCTCCAGGCTGCGCTCCTGTTTGCGTCCGGCCATCTCGCAGGAGGGCTTTTTTTTTAATAGCATCCAGATGCCCGAAGGAAGCTATATTGTAAATTGTGTTCTATTTCTGGGCCCCAATATCTAAATGGGGAGATACACCTGTTGGGTATGAAGGAGGGAATTTCACAGGCCTAAAATAAAGCCAAACGCTTGCCCTTCTGCACCAGCCCATGGAAAATGCTCTTGTATTTATATCTGGGCTGGCGGAGGGCGGGGCGCTGGAGGGGGTTTGGCAGAGCAGGGGAAAGGCCTGAGCACCTGCCAGGGAAGCAACAGAGAGTGAGTGGGGCATGTTCCGCTCCGACCACAGCGAGGCCACCACCTCCCCGCTGTGGGCCACACTGCCCGTGTGGGGCCAGCTCCCTGCCTCGCCTTCGCTTGCTATTTTGCCTGAGCATCAGAATCAACCTGGAATGCTCATTTAGAATCTGGGTTTCCGGAGCCCTCTCCCTGCACCCACGAACGAGAGTCAGGAGGGGTCTGACTCTCGCCCACGTTTGTCCGTGGGGGAAGTGGGCTCGGCCAGCTCTTTTCTCTGGGGGCTGCAATTTGGGTCCCCTCACCTGTAGGCCTTCTTTTTCCTACCAAATTTTACTCATCACATTTCACTTTTCTCCCTAAAGAAGGCCTTTTGATGGCACTACTCCAGGCGCGTTGTGGGAGCCTCTCTCCAAGGTGGGAGCAGGGGTGGATGAGAGACGAGAGGCCCCGGGACCTGAGGAATGGGAAGCAGGGGTTTCCGCTGCAGCCGGTTAGGTCTGGGCGAAAGCAGAAGCCTAAGAAATCAACGAGGATTCTGGAAAAGAGAAAAACCAAGCAATGAGCTTGCCAGGGTGGGGATGGCATCTTCACAGCATGAAAAGCGCTCCCAGGACGGTGCGTGACAGGCCGAGGACAGGGCCGCCCACAGTACACAGGACGTAAACCCCCCAGGGCTGCATGCCTCCCGCGGTTCTGACTCAGCCCTGAGTGCCGGCCGCTGTGATTGAGCTCAAGGCCTGGAAACAGGTGCGAGAGGGACACTGGGCTCTCAGCAGCCCAGTCCCTTGCCCCACTCCCCGTTGAAAGAAACCTCTCTCCTGAAAGCTGCCGATGAGCTACGGTTGTGCTCTCCCTTCCAGAAGCCCAGAGGGTTCTATAAATATCATTTTGGCCCAGAATGTTCTGGGGGGTTCTCTGGAAGTTTGAAAATAGTCCACTTGTTACTATCTATATTCAGAGAACCCACTCCTGGCCTCCACTTGGTGGCTAAGTATAGCTCCCTGGCAAAGTCCAATGGAACAAAAGTTTCCAGGCCTCCATCACCTTGCGGATGGCAGAACATTCCAGGGAGAGCACCCAGCTGCCAAGACTCAGAGGCGCTCGGAGGAGGCTGGAGCTGACGTGGGGCCTGCAGCAACTCCCTCTCCCTGCACTCGGGAAGTCTGCGGGGCTGTCAGCAAACGAGGGTGCCCTCGCCAGATCCAGTAGCGAGAGCTTCTGATGCCAGCTCTGCCGTTCTGTGGGGTCCAGTCAATTCCATTATAAAGCCTTGGTTTCCGCCTCTGTAAAAAAGGAATTGTGCTAAACTATTTCAGAATTTGGGAAGAGTGCCAAGTAAACAGGATAGTAAAAAAGACACTTAGGATGCCTAAAATAAAATATAATTGCTAACTTGAGAGAAACCTCAACCTTTATCTTCTCAGAATCTATGTCCATTTCTTGACCACCAAGTTCTGGCTCCAGTAAATCTCTCCTCCCAGCTGTCCCCACCCAGCCCACTGAGCTGCCCGAGAGCTGGTCTGGCCCCTGTCCAGGGCATCCTTAGGTGCCAGCAGAGCACCAGGCACAGCTGAAGTACAGGGACGGCGGGAAGGGCGGGAGGGGCGAGGGATGGGGATTCAGACCAGGGTCCGTCCTGTCGGGTGGGCGTCGCATCTTTGGGTATCACGTGGAAAGATGAGAGGCTGCCTTCCCACATGACATCCATCAGTGCAGTCCCCTCTCCCCCAGGCTGATCCGGAGCACCCACGCCGCCCCCTCCCCGCAGCTCTGTTCCTGGGGCTCCTCTTTTGTTTTGCTCTGTAGGGATCCTCCCGCAACTGGTCCTTAAGAAAGACATGAAGTCACATGGGCTTTGCTCACCCAGCTCAAAACACCAGCCCCCACTGCCTTCCCCTGGCACAGGCCTGGGCCTCAGGACGCCTCCACTTCAGGAAGGAGAG